TTGCTTTCAGTATGATAAAACATTATCTGACTCTCTTTTTGTGTGTCTATGTGTACATATACAGAGAGACAGATAATTTTTGTTTACATCTATATATATATATATATATTTATATTTGTATGTTTAACTCTGTTTATTAGTCTATCCATCCATCCATCTATCTAAAATGACCACAACCTGTGGTTGTGCATTGAACAGCCTGCACAACTATGTGAAGGTCCAGTTGTAACTCCCGTGATCATTGATAAGATAACCAAGTGCATGGGCCTCCCCGGTGGTGCAGCGGTTGAGCGCTGGGTTGCGAAGCTGCCCGCGGCCTCTGCGGCGCCGGTTCGATCCCCGGCTGCTCCCCTGCCACCGGAGGAGGGTCCCACATGGTGCGCAGACCTCTCCTGCCACCCGCTGCTCCCCTCAGCAGTGTACTTCGGTCCTTCTGCCTGCTCTGCTCCCCGCTCTGGCTCTGGTGAATTCTCTCACCCTCCCGCGCTTCTGACTGTACCCAGTGCATGTATAAACAAAACAAACAAACAAACAAATAAATAAATAAAACATGCCTCTATAAATAAAAAAAAATAAAAAAAATTAAAAAAAAAAAAGATAACCAAGTGCATGCTCTACTAGCAGAGGAGGGTTCCTCAGTGTCCATGGATGTGATTGAAAACACACTTTGTCACTCTAATCCTTTAGTTAGACTGTGGGATCTATCATTTTCTTTGTATGATTTTAATAGTTCAGCAAGATTGTTACATATATTTTAGGTATTTATCTTTATTTTTATAGATAGATGATGAGTGGATGGATGGATGGATGGATGGATGGATGGATGGACGGACAGATGGACAGACAGACAGATACATCCATTTGCCACAAAATTCTCATTAAAATTTGTCAGAGTATTTAAAATTATGATGACAATTTATTGCCATGTTCAATTCAGATTTAAAATTAATAGTATTGAGTACTTCTCTTGACAAGCAACACTTTACCTAGAGAAATAAGTATGATCCAGACATACCCCTCCCCTCAATGGTATGCAGTGTGCCAGGGAAGCCAACTGAAATGAGATGGTTTTGTTCAGTTGGTAAATACTGAAGGAAGAAGGTGTACAGGGAGGACATTACAAGCAAACAAAACAGCATATGCAAAGGCTAATGGGTATAAGTATTGTACCTGGAGAAATGATAACAAGGCTAAACCAAATAAGTAGCATAGCAAAAGGAAAAGAATTCTGCCATATATTAATCCTATAAATTTTGGTAATTTACTTAACTCACTTCATACCTTAACAGTGAGATGTGTTCTGTTTACCTCAGAATTTTGAGGAATGTGGGAGATAATGCATGGGCAAGCAGTTTGAAAACAATCAAGTTTCATATTTATAAGTGATACCTAATACATATTAATAATAAGGATATCATAAAACAAAAATAATTTTCTCTTCTCCCAATTCATTCTCTGTGACTCCTTTCTTACTATCTAGCCACACCCTTAAAACTGCTTCCTGTCCTCCCTTGAGAAAATGACTGAGAACCCTGTGGATTTGTGGGAGATGATGGACAGCACTGCAGGGGGTGTGGAGAGGTGTTGTCGGTGCAAATATGTGGATGACCCTTTGCACATCCCTTCAGAAGGGCTCCTTCCAGTGAGTGACATTGAGCACTAAATATCCATGAAGTTTTAGAAATATCTCTTAATCGGGCCTCCCTGGTGGCACAGGGGTTAAGACACAACACTATGAAGCAATTGGCAGCTACTGCAGCATGAGTTTGATCCCCAGTCAGGGAGCTACCCACATGGTGCGGCAGACCTCTCCTGTCTCACCCGCTGCTCCTCTCAGCAGTGTATTTCAGTACATCTGCCCATTCTGCTCCCCACTCTGTCTCTGGTAAATCCACTCACCCCACCACACCTCTGGCCTCTACCTCAGTACTTGTATGCATAAAAAAATCCTCTTTTAAAAAATTATCTTTTAATCTAGGAGCCCTCAAACTAAAACATAACATCTATGGAACCGATTTTTCTAAATTGGAGGTGGGGGTGGTGGTGTGGGACCTGTTGAGCTCCCTAGGTATCATAGCTGCCCTATAAATCATCCTCCACTAACCAGACTCTGCCTCCCTGCACTGTGTCACCCTTATAACTGGGAGGACTCTGGGGTGTAGAGAAAGAGAACTTCAGTTGGCCTTAACACATCCAGCTAAAGCAGGCATTATTCTGAGAATATTTTAGAAGGTGCACTGAAGTTGTTGCTTTATAAAAGTGGGAAAAGTATTGACATTTCTAAGCCCAGAACTATTTTTTAACAAGCTAGAAAATGCTGAAAAACAGGTAGTAGCGTTTTCTCAAGAGAATGCCCTGTAGTTAGAATGTACGGTGTTTTTTTCCCTGTGTGTATTTGGGTAAAATATGTGCACTAAAATTTCAGGCCAAATCCTAACGCAGAAATAATCCAAAATATGGCAGATTTATAAGCGAGGCAGTTTTTATTTATTTGCTAATGTGGATTCCCTTAAGAGCTCAAATGTTCTACATGTTACTTATGGCTTCTCCTTGAAAAGACTTACCTCTAAGGTCTCAGCAGCATAAAACTCCAGGCTGCATAGTTGTCTGAGTCAAGCATCAGCCATAATTCTCCTTTGCCACAGACTTGAGGGTGGTTTGGAATCTACTAACACACTACCTGTTTGGTAATTAATAATTCATAATTAAACTGGCAGTATGAATAAATCAGCATAACTGCAGGTTTTGGAGCCTCCTCTCTCCATTATCCTCCCTTTTATTTCAAGAATCTGAAAGAAAAATGAGAAGGAAAGTTAAGGCATCAGAAATCCTCCATTAAAGGTTGTATCATTAATGGAGGCTTTACCTACATTTATAGTTTTCAAAAAAAATCTATTTGGATTTTTCTTTCAAAAACTTTAATATGTACCCTTGCCAGCATGGCACTGAGGAAACAGATGTCTGGGATTCCATCCTTACCCTCAAGAACCTCACTCTCTACGTAGAGACACGTACACAGCCACCAGCATAAACAGTAAGATCATGCGGTGTGCTCAGTTCCTCCCCCGACCCCAGAGGAGGTTTGGATCAAATGCAGCAGGAGAGATGGGTGATTCTGCTCTCAGGATTTAGAAAACAGTTAGGAAAACCACAGAGGGGAGGTGACCTCTCAGGACCCTTGATGATGAGTTATGTCTTTTCAGGTAAGAAATGAAGTAAGGGGAAAACAAAGCTATCAAAGTGCTTAGGCTTTTTTTGTGCCCAAGGGTCAGCAGGTTCCAGTGTCTGCAAGTGTCACGTCAGTGGGAATTGTGCCAGGAGATCAGGCTTGTCAGTGAGTTTGGAGATTACTGCAAAGGGCTGAGGTCACACAAAAGAGGTTGTGGATTAAGTTTGGTGGGCTGTGGTGAATTAAAATTGTAAGAGGGGAATAATTTAATTCATTATTGCTTGACTAGATCATTCTGGTCACATGGAGAGGGGAAGATGGGGGGATCCCAAATTGGAATGGAACCAGGTGGGAGGCCCCAGGCTGTTATAGTTGTCCGTGTGAAAACTGGTAGAAACTCAACTAAGATAATGGCAATGAGAAGAGTTGAGAAGGAATATAAGCATTTGCCACTGTTGAGCTTTGGGTGGAATTGAGAATCATACTCAGCAGCAGGGCATGATCAAGACCACAGATCCTGTCCACCTCTGCTTGTCAAGTGGACATGAACCTGACCCGTGACAGGATTATAGTTTATGGTGTAGGATGCTATTGTTGCTATTCCCATCCTCCTCCTCATCTTAGTAGCTGATATTCATTGAGTACATCCTTTATAGCAGACAACCTGCTAAATCCTTTATTTAAACCTCCTAACACAATGAGTTTAGCTACTGCTATCATCTGTATTCTACAGGTAAGGGGACTAAAGTGTGGGGAGGTAAAGGCAGTTTATGTTGCCGAAGATCTTTCAGTAGGTAAGGAGTTGAGCTCCAGAATGCTGGTCCTAACCATTAGGATATGGTGCTATTGAAAATGTATTTCATGATACAATCATAGCATAATGATGGTAGCAGAGATAATATATTGTTGGAAAGAAAGCAAGTAATTCTGATTGGAGTATCAGAAAATTTTCACTGAACTTGAAAATATATATTTTAAGAAAAGAGCAGGACTTGTTAGGTAACATGAAAGAAAAGAATTCTAGGAACAACTTTTGAAAACTCCAATAATTTTGAAAGGATATGGAATGCTCTGGAAATGGTAACTGTGACTGGTTTTGTGAGCAAGTTATTGGAATGTCTGAACTGGGGGCTACTCATAGTTATCTCCCTAAGGTGCTTTCCCTGAAAGGAATACCCATGGGGCTACATGGGAACTCTTAGAAAATTTGGTATTTTCCCTTTGCTTTTTGCCTTTTAATCAGCAAGCAGTAATGCCCCTCTCCCTAGTTCCTCAACTTCCCTCCTCCCCATACACCTACGTGCCTCCTGCTGCAAAAAAAAAAAAAAAGAAAAAAAAGAAAAAAAATTGTACAATGCAGAGCTACTTTCACCATGTGCACACTGTGAATGTGGTCTTAATGGCTGCGTCCTGGGCAAATCCAGGAACCTGAAAATTATTTTTGAGAATTACATTCATCATAAAATATTGCTATGTGGGGCTGTCCTGGTGGTGCAAGGGGTTAAATATCAGCACTCTGAAGCTATCTGCAGCCACTGCAGCATGACTTCTATCAATCCTAGCCACGGAGGTGACCTGCATGGCACAGCAGACCTCTCCTGACTCACCCGCTGCAGCAGTGTATTTCAGTAGATCTGCCTATTCTGCTCCCCACTCTGTCTCTGGTGAATCCTCTCACCCCCCACACCTCTGGCCTACCTACAGCCTGGCTCATGCATGCATAAATAAATAAAATCTTAATAAATATATTGCTATGTGAGTATCTATAGGTTAGCATTTCTGTTTGAAGAATCTTTCTTACGCATTTCCACCCCTCTCTGTTTCTTTGCAGTTCCCCCACAGATCATGAATATCTCCTCGGATGTAACTGTGAATGAGGGAAGCAGCGTTACTCTACTGTGTCTTGCTATTGGCCGACCTGAGCCAACCGTGACCTGGAGACACCTCTCAGTCAAGGGTAAGGCGTGTACTTGTAGGAAATGTTCTGATTCAGTCCATTCAAGACCTGGTCCTGATCTGCAACAGAGCTTCAGGAATCAGAAAATGGTGCTTTACTGTAACACAGTAACATAAAAGCAAATGGGTCATGTGCATCAGTCCCCGAATTGACAAAGGAGGGCTTTATAGAGAAAGTTGATGTATTATTTTCTTAGTCCTTTTTATGACTTAAGTAGATTTTATTTTGCCAATGATGAGAAAGAGGTGCCATAAGAATAACTTCTAAGAAATACTAATTTCTGAAGGTGTAGATGCTTGGGTCACATAGTGGTTTGTCCTTTCTTGAAGCATAGTGCATTAATGCTAAAATGTGCATTGAAAACTTTGGTTTTATTGTATATCCAGGAGCAAATAAGGGTCTCTTGCTCAGTTGGTTCTGGATAATTACCCAGAGTCACATCTGGGTTCTGTACATAAATAGCCCACTTTGAGTGGAAAAAGGGAAAGTGTACCTGACCATGTCAGTGCTGGGCATTCAGTGGCTGCAATTAAAATATTAGTTAAAAAAAATGAAAAAAAATATTAGTTAAGATCATCTCAACTTCATAGGAAAAGATCCAAAAAGGTAGTGGGCTTTGTCCTTTTGAAACTGAAACTTACTCCAATTTGAACTAAAGCGATGGGCACAGAGTCATTTGATTTATTTTTAGTGTTACAAGAAACTATGATTAATTCCAGAAAATATACAAGAAACAAGAGCTCCCTCAGGCATTAGAAAATCTAAACATGAAACCAGTGAATAGGAAAATGTGTGCAGTATGCTAGTGTGTGATGTAAATATAGTATAGATAGAGAGGAAAACTTGGGAATAAATCTTTGTAACCTTGAGATAGAAAAAAGTTTTGTTAGGACATCAAAAGTTATAACCATAAAAGGGAATATAATGATATATTTGCTTTGTATTATTTTCCTAGCATGGCCATAACAAAGTACTATGAACTGATGGCTTATAGTACAGAAAGATACGCTTCATATTTCTGGAGGTTGGAAGTCCATGATCAGGATCTGGGCAGAGCTGGTTACTTCTGAGAGCTATGAGGGGGTATCTGGTCCATGCCTCTCCCCCAAGTGCTATGTTTTGCCTGCAGTCTTTGTTGGTTTGTAGATGAATCACAGTGATCTCTGCCTTCATTTTCACATGACCTTCTCCCTGTGTGCATGTCTCTGTTAGTTTTTCCCTGTTTATAAGTCACCAAACATATTCGATTAGAGTCCAAACTAATGACCTCATCTTAATTTGATTATGCCTCTAAAGACCCTGTTTCCAAATAAGGTCACATTCTGAAGCATTGGTGGGGAGAGGTGGTAGGACTTCAAAGTATATTGAGAGGTGGTGGGAATGAAATTCAATCTATAATAGTCTTCATCAAAATTAAAAACACCATTGCAATCTTCAATTTCATTTAATCTAATGAAAAGACAAGCCACAAACTAAAGAAAATATTTGGCATAGATGTGTCATGTATAACATTCACTACATGCATACATGCAAAAAATTTACATCTGAAGATATATGAAGAATTCTTACAACACAATTGTAATAATAATTTCAAAATGAACCAAAAAACCAAAATAAACCAACAAACAACCCACAAAATAAGAAAAACAAATGGAAAAGGAGCTCCAGAATATATGATCAACGTTTTATCATAGGAATGGAAATTAAATTGCATTGAGAAATACTACTCAACTATAAGTACGACCAAAACACACACATACACACAAGCCCTGACAATATCAATACTGGTGAGAATGTGCAGCAACTGAAATTCTTAGACATTAAATTTGGGACTATATAACAGGGTACAAGCACCATTTTAAAAATTTTGACAGTTTGTTAGGTCTATGCTTAACTTAGGACCTAGCAATTCCATCCCTGAGTATTTACTAAAAATAAATGAAAATGTATATCCACAAATATGCACTGTATATATATGTTCCCCATTATTTCACTTTTAATAGCCTCAAACTAGAAATAACCCCAATAAACATTAGCAGGTAACAGATAATTGTGGTATATTCAAGCAAATCACAACTTGTCAACATTAAAAGGAAAGATAAACCATTGGCATAGGAACTAAATGCATGAATCTCAAAAAATATGCTGAGTAAAAGAAATGAGAGGCAACATGTTTTGGTTCATTTTGAAATGGGTTATTAGAATTCATGTTTAAGTTAGTCAAAACTAACCAAACCACTGTAAAAATAGATGCATTTTGTATGTAAATTAAATCTCAATAAAATTTGAAAACAAAATGGAAATTTAGAAAGTAATGACCTGAAATTTTCTAATTTAGAACATCAATTATGTGAGTGCACTTAGCAAATAAGAGTCTGATTTTGTTACTAGAAGCGTTATTTAAGTTTTCACTATCTCATTTCCTCAGTGTAAATTGAGACTACATATGTCAGAGGATGCCTTGTTCTAACAAAAGATAATGCCAATGTAGTCACTGAAAATTCTCTGTATAAAGACCTCAGATATCGAAAGGTAAAATGTCGGTGTGATGGTGTGGTGTGATGGTGTAGTGTGAGTAACATACATTTTGAGGGGTGTGATCCTGTGACATGGAACCATATGATCATTGTAAACCTGTGTTAATTCAATAAAAAACACAATAATATTAAATATACATTATGTGAATCATAAGCTCAGCTTCAATACAAACACAGCTATAGTTTGTGTTCCCCAAAGACAAAAACCCCATGGGAATTTTGCTTGAAGTTAAGGAGAATTTTGGATTTACATTATATGCAAAAATGTGTCTAACCACCAGACCAATTTCTATGTATTTGGTAAAGTCAGACATCTTTATAAATGCTTAAAAATCCCAAAATGCATTTATTTGGTCTTAAATACATACTTCTCCAAGCCTGGAAATCTTTTTTTAAAAGGCATTTTGACTTTGTGTAAGTGTTTTGAAGCAATTCTTTATAATAGTATACTGGTAAGATTTCTCTCAAAATAACAGAGATCCATCCATATTCCCAACCTTTTGTATAATGTAATAGTTGCAATTCAAGCTCAAAAAGCCCATAAAATCCTAAACTTAAATTATCCCTCTCCCCTTTAAATCTTCAGGCTGTGTTCTGCTTTCAAGTGCCTTTTGTTTTTTCATAGTCCTGGCCTTCCCTTTGCTGTCTTTCATGTCCCCTATTGTCCTTTCTCTCCCTCCCTCCTCTGCCCTCCCAATGACATTTAAACATTTAAACTCAAAGCATTGTTTCCCAAGCTTGAAAAGCATTAGAACATGGAGAGACTGTGAGTTTAGAATTTGCATCTGCAGGGTAACTACTGATATTTATTTTAGAAGGATATTCCTTCTTACTTGGAGTTAAGGAGGCTTTGGGCAGTTTTTTTTTTTAAAGGTTTAAAAGAACAGGCAATAAAAAATCAACATCAAACAACATTTATAGAACAATTTACCAGTTAGTAAATTAAAGAATGAGAAATAAAAGTTGCAATGACATTTCCTTTGAAACTTCAGTAGGATTATTTTGGAGAATTTAGTAGACTGGACACCTGTGTTCCCAAAATGTTACTGCAATATTTGAAATCAACCATTTGGATTTGGGAACTTATAGAACAAGAATGAGTAAGCAAACTTTCATATGGAAAAAATGAACAGACTATTAAAGATTAAGAATATTGTTAACATGACAAATCAAGCTTAAAATGACAGACAATGTGCAAGCACATTGCACCACTCCCTAGAAATTTATCAAGATGAGGAAGAGTCAATAAGTCCACTATTGCACCAGGGAATAATAATGATAAGCTTTTGTAGATGAGAAACTATGAAGAATCTCTGAATTATAAAATTCACATAGATGTAATGCAGGGGGAAAATACAGTTCAAAATATACAGGAATATGATCTATACTGAAATAACAGTTGAAAATGGGAGGTTTTAGATCATGGCACTAATCAGTGTTTAAAACTGATTGAGGTTGAGGGTAGAGAAGGGATGGGGACCTGGGTGGCATCTGTCAATATCATGGTGTAAATGCTGTCATCATCGCCACTGTTCTGGGGTCCCCTTTGAACAAACTTTGTTTTTTAAGTTCATTTTCTTTTTAAAAAAATGAACAAAAATCCAAAATAAGTCCCTGTTTTGAAAGTAAGTGAAAGTTTTAAAAAAACTCTTTGAGGTTCCAGAATAGATCTGGACTCCCTAGCGTCTCTCTGTAGACTGGATGTGCAGCTGTAGATCTCCTGACTTCCAGTTTCCTTTACAGTGTCGACAGATATGCCAAGATTCCCCCAAATTGAGCCCTTCCTAGAGGACATCTGTCTCACTTCCAAGGAAAACTGAGATTTCATAGGATAATGATTATTAAGTATTTTGAACATCTCAAAGAAATGTGCTAGGTAAACATACATTCTTGGAGTTTTGTAATTGGCATGCAAACCACTGAGCTTTTGACCACGTATTTACTCTTTAGCTATAGATGTATGATGTTATACTTTTTTTTTCAATGCCAGATAATGAATTTTTTTTAAAAGATGTGTATTCATGCAATTTTGCTAAAGAATTTAACATGTGTTTAACTACCTTCACACACATAGAAATCTGTACTGAGTGACCTGCAAAAATCATCCACCAAAAAGATTGGGAAGACCCAAAAACAGGACGGCAAAATGGATTGGCAAATAGTCTGTGTGTTTGGAGTATGTTGTGAAACAGGTGGCTTCCAAGAATGCTTATATTTTCCCTCCTGAAGGACAGGAGGAAGTGCACTGGGGCAGCGTCCATGGGAAGACACTGAGTGGGATGTGAGTGGGAGAGGCAGAAAATATGGGCTGTCATGTTCTAAGGAGGGCTGTCTCCCCCCCTTAAGATGCTGTAGTCATCCACAGTAATGCTTGCACACCTGGCCCTATTTCCAAAGACATATTTGGAAAGGCCAGATGTTTGGGGAAAAATAATAAAGACTTCTTTTCTGTTTCCTCTCCAT